GAAAACAAGGAATCTCCAGGAAATCAGGGGGAAGGGGTAGAGCTGAGGAGCATCTGTAGGGAAATAGGTGCTGCTGAGTGTGCACAGGTGGGGAGGGTATTCCAGCTGCAGGGAACATCTCTGGAGCTAGGAGAGAAACTTGGGACATGACAGGGGAAAAAAATAGGGAAAATGAAAAGCAAAAGGAAAATAAAAAGAAAAAGGAAAAGAAAAAGGAAAGGAGGGGAAAAAAGAAAAATGAAAAAAGAAAAAAACAAAACAGCAAGAAAGCACAAGATCCTTCATTCCTGCCAACCTGCCAGACTTAATAATCCATGAAATTATTCCAGGGAAGGGCCCAAAGGCCTAAAAGAGAAACTCTTGAACTTTCACTTTGATTCAAAACAACGTGAAAAAAAATCACTCATAAGTGGGACAAATACCCAGGACTTGAGCCACACATATCCTGAACTGGCCATAGTGTTACCAGCAACATTTCCAAGGATCGACCTGATCCAGGCACACAAAGAGAAAATGGGAAATAGGGCAGAGGCTGTTTCCTGCTCCTCTTCCGAAGCACGAATCGCAGCTGCTCCCTCCGGAGAGGTCAGGCACTGGGAATGTTGTGCCTCAGCGTTTGCACAGCCCAACAGACCCTGGGTGAATATTTATTTCCAGTATTTCCCTGGATAAACTGCTGTTAGCTCCAGTATCCAGGGAACATGCCAAGCTTCGGTGCCCAGTATGCCCTGCTGATTGAAATATTTTTGTCAAGCTTTTTATTCTTTTTCTATTTTTAAACAGAGTTTAGATAAAGATTTTTAAGGGATACCAACATGCTGTTTTAAGGGGGAGCAGAGGTTTCCCTGTGCCCAGCAGGCACCTGTCTCCACTTCCCCTCTGATTTCTGCCTACAAAAACCTCTCAGAAGACTTAATGGGGCCTTGAAAAAAGGAGGGAGAGGGACTTTATACATGAGCAGATAGTGATGGAACAAAGGGTGCCCACTGACAAAGGGCAGGTTTAAATTAGATTT